ACGAGCTCGATTCCCTCTGCTAAAGTAAGAAGAAGACAAGTCAGGAATATCTATATTATGTACCTGGCAAAAAAACAAGTAGAAAAGAAGACAAGTTATGAAGATTTACTTGATAACAATGTTCAAGTGTATGATCATTATGTTATGTACCTGAAAAAATGACTTAACAAGGCACAACAAAGCATCCCARCTTTCATCTTTCATTAGTTGCAATAACATTTTGGTAGATGCAACTAACCTCAATGAGTTAAAAATATCTTGATCTTGCCTTTGTAAAGCTTGACAAAGTAAATCARTGATCTCCATTATTTCTCTTTAGAGATGCAAGACARATATGAACTCAAATGTCGTCATAGCCTCATATGCCGAATATGCATCTCTTTTGATTGGACCAGTTCCTTCCTAAARTTTTTTGAGCAAAACCTCACAAGTTGGATTGAACATCTTGATTAGGMTAGAAACTGATATGAGATRAGAACTCCATCTAGTATSTCCGGCTTGTTGTAATATACCAATTTGATTGAGACCTCTATCGGTCTCCAATTCATCAACATAAATCAAGTATGCAATTTGCTTGACTTGTGCATCTCGTAGTTGGTCGGTGCATTTGGAGGAAGCACTAACTACTTGATAAYGCAAACTTCGTTCTAGTGTACCCAAATCAATAGCATTACTTTCCATCTGAGCTTTTTGCAAGGGTTTTCGATAGACRGAACACTAGATGTAGGGGTATTATCTACATTTGTTGTTTCTTTGGGATMTTGAGAAGAAGAACTAGCATGTTTTCTTTWAAAAAAWATCATGAATGRTMGATTGAGTTTTCATATTCATCTYTRTGTGAAACATTATGACACTTAAGTACTTGACCAMTTTGGCAAAAAAAGGAACTTCCYAAAGTAAAYAACTTTAAAACCAATTCATAGATACTCATTSAAACAAGTGATGAAGTGAATAGACTATAGTCTATGGAACATGAAGTCCTAAATTTAATCAATAGATGCTTYTATGTTAATGACTTATATCAATATGTAACAAAAAGCAAAGAGCAACATGTCCCATTCCACATATGGTAGGGTGATACCAACTAGAATAGTCAATAGAGAATGCTCAATACTGGATCAAATCAGATGCAAAAATCAGATTGGTAAGTATACATAATTTAGATCAACATGTTCCATTCCACATTTTAAACCCAATCAAACATAGTATCAAACAAATTTAGACCTAAATCACCTAATCGTTAATCAAACAAAATTTAGACAATTAGACCTAAACTAAACAGATTTGACTCCATGTCTGTCTCYATGTCAATTTTTCAACCAAAATAACACCAAACATGAAGTGAATCAAGTGATGAAAMGTTAACGGAATGTACTCACTCTTACTGACGGAAGAAGAATGGCAGCACCGCAGCAGAAAGCTGGAGTAGAGCAGAGCACTGCAGCAGGGCTGCATTCGAAGAAGAAGAACTGCAGAACGCAGAAAGCGATCTTTGATGGAGAAGGTCAGAAGGCGAGAAGCAGAGCACTGCAGGACTGCAGTCTGCAGTCAAAGAAAGCTGGAGCCTGGCCTGGAAGAGACGTCGTTGAATACCTGAATAGATTTAGTGTTGAGTGATMGAGTTGACGTTATGTTATGGCTAGGCCGACTGACTTGTTATACTTAGTGGACTGGATCAACAATARTGGAGGGGCCCAAAAGAATTTTATACTTAAAACCTTAATAGGCTGGAAATGCTTTACTCTATCTAAAAAMAAGCCCAGGGGCCAAGGCCCTGCAGGCCATCCACCCCTGTGTCTACCAATCTGGTACAACACCAACATACCAAACACATAGAGATTGACACTCACTTTGTCCGGGACAAAGTTGTTGTGGGTCTTGTTGGAGTTCTCCATGTCCCTTCCAGTTCTCAGTATGCTGACATATTTACGGAGGGTCTTCCCACATCTCTATTCCACGACTTTAGAGACAGTTTGCACGTCCGAAAACCTCCCAATCAAACTGCGGGAGGGTGTTAGTATATTGTTTTTGTTTGGGTTAGTTTTTATTTTGTTAGCCCACTTATATATAGTGTTTTACGACCCAAAGCATTTCTTGTAATGTATATATGTTTGTACATGTTTGAAGGGGGAGGAAATCATTTTCCAATAATAGGAAGTGTCCTATCTTGTGGCACTTGTAGAATTCCAAAACAACTTATTGTAACTATGCCTTATTCGACCTCAACAGCTTATACGAACTCTTTTTCTTCCTCTAGTACCATATCTCTCTTCCCCTATTATTGCCCGTATGACTTGTTCCTCTTCATGATCCTTAAACAACCTTTTGAACTTTGTTTCATGAACTATCAGCGTGCTTTGTAGTTCGTCGATGGAGATCGTACTCACGTCTTTTTCTTCCTTTATGGATATCACAACATATGTGAACCTTTTCGCTAATGTTCGTATTCAACTATATTGGTATCAKATAATATTTCTCCATTGCTTCTAATCTGGTTGGCAGTTGACATTACCTTGGTAAAATAATCTGTTATCGTTTCTCCTTGCTTCATATGTAGTATTTCAAAATCTCTTTTGATAGTGTTAAGAAGCGATCTTTTTACCCTTTTGTTTCCTCTGAACTTGCTTTTTAACGAATCCCAGACAATCTTTGAGGTACGTCTATCTAGAATTTGCTCGAACGTGACCCTATTTATTGCTTGATATAGATAGTGTTTTACCTGATAATCTTTCCTCTTAGCATCCTCTAGTTATGTTCGTTGTGCGTTGGTCAACTCTTTTCCATCAGCAGCCACAACTTCTTGAGCGCCTTTTTCTATCATGGTCTAGAGACCTTTTTTCCCTTGGCGGGTTCACCATGAACTCGCTCCACTGATCATAAWTTTTTTTATCGAACTAGGGTATGTTAGCCAAGCCTTTTTCTTCACTCATCTTTTTTGCATTTGCTCTCTTCTTTCGACTTTTACGAACCAGGTCAAGTGGAGCTCTAATACCAATGTTAAAACCAAATATCGTAACAATAGGAGGCACCTAATGCTTGATCACTTTATTGAGGCACCTAATGCTTGACCACTTTATTGTTTAGAAGCCTTAGGCCATAGGCTTTGTATAGTCAGTGCAAGAAGAAATAATCATAAAAAAAGGATAAAGATAAAACTAGATCTTCTACTCTAAGGATAATTTATAATTTTTCCCGRAGACTAATATGTTTCTCATCTCAATATCTTAACCAACACTCTTGAAGTAACACTTATCTCTAGCAGGTTTTACCCTTGTCCATTGTCAGCACTAAACGTGAAGGACTAAATCCGAGTTTTTAAAGTTTAAGRACGATATTCATTAAAAATTACAAATATTAAGGACCAAAATTAAACTTAGAAATGCAATAAAAACAATTGAAACCCATAAGATTTGAATTTCAAATGACAATAATCTCCRAGAGATGTCTATATCCATACAAATCCAAACTTTCTTTCAAATTAAACACGGAATTAAAATTCAATTTAATTTCAAATCACTCCCTAAAAGGTACTATCTTTACACTGTGTTCTCGAATTTGGGGAGATACGAAAAGAAAAGAAATTGATGAAAAGAAAGCACGTGAAAATTATTTTTTTAGTTTGTGTTCTTCAGAAAAAAAAAAAAGACATTAAATTTTCATGTTTTTAAACAGGAGATAAAGATTATGAAAGATGACATTTTTTTTATAAATATATCATTTAAAAATATGTTCTTTATTAAAAAAAGGTTGAATAATTTTGTAATTTTAATAACATTTTTAAAGTGTTTTAATTTMTTTCATTTCATTAATATTCACTTTCCACTCACATT